AAAGGGCCTGTACTGTGCTGTACTGTTCTATGTTCTATGTTTCATGTTCTATCTCAGCCTTTGAATATAGTTAATGACCCAGTCTTAACAGCCCTCTGCAGTAAAGAATTCCGCAGATTCGCAACCCTTTGAGAGTAGAAGTTCCTTCTCATCTCTGCCCTAAATGTGTGACTCACTAAACCTGTACCAGACCTTGATTCGAAGAGACTGTGAGCACAGCTGCTGTTCTGGGATGCAGAGGTACTGGAAAGGGTGCAGGGAAGATTGACAAAAAGGAAACTGGATATGTGTGGGTGTCAATGTCAGGAAGGGATTTACAGGTTGGATCTCTTTTCTTGTGAAGAAAGAAGGCTGGGCAGGTGATCAAATAGAAATAATTAAAATGATTAAAAGATTTTGATACAGTAAGAATGTTGCTACTTTTTGAGGAAGACTATAACACACGGGGCATCAATGTAGGAGAGAATTGGCAGGAACTCCAATCAGGAATCAGAAGGAAATTCTTCATCTAAAGAGTGGTCAGAACGTTGAGGTTGTTGTCAACAGGAGCAACAGTAGAGATGGATTTAAGGAGAAATGAAATACGCTTGTGGGAATAGATGGTTTACGTAAACTAGATTGAACAGGAGGAAGCCAGAGGAGAATGCCAACACCAGATTGGAACTGGATGGGCCGAAGGGCCTGTTTCTGTGCTGGGTGTCATGTGGAACATGCTGAGGAGGTGGTGAAGATGAAAGGAACATGAGGGAATAAGACGGGAGCTCACAGAGCGATGGGCCTAGTTATGTATTGAAAGAGAAAAGGCAGGAAAGTAAGGAGTGTTAGATCAGCCATGATCCTATTGAATGACGGAGCAGATTCAAGGGGCTGAATGGCCTAGCAGTGTTTTATTCAGGATTATTCAGTTCACCACTGATCTGGTTCATGTTGGAGCTGTGGAGAAAAACTGAAATTATTTCAAAGCCCATGCTGCTACTGAGACAAACGGCTATTAATGATAAGACTATATTTATGACTGAGCTGCACCACCCCCTCCGTCCCCTCCTCCCCCTGTCTCCACAGGCTTTGACTCCCAGCCGATAAACAGCTGCTTGGCAAGGCTGGGATGCATTCTCCACATGCCAAAGACTGGCTGAACAGCCAGAGTTGTAGTCATCCTAGCAGGGGGAGGCCATGCTGCTCTTGTAACCCGAACACGTGGCCTGCTGAGCGCTTTCAGCTTTCAATCTGTTTTCTAGGAAAATGGGGGAGTAGGGGGAAGTGGGAGATGGGTGAAGTATTCGACCAGGAGCCATTCTGCGCACTTGTTGACATGTTGAGTACGCATAGTCCTTCCACCTGTCATTTCCTTCACTCTCCTGGGGTGCGGCCGATGGAGCTGACAGAGTCCCTCTCCATTAAACAAAGGAAGCAGGTGGTCTAGTGCATTGCTTCCCTAAGCTTTTCAGCGTTAAGGTACACCAGGCTGCAGAACCAAGCCTGTTTCCCTCTTCCCCACCTCTGTATATGTGGTGTAGTGGTATTGCCACTGCACTAGTAATCCCAATACTCCTTGCCCATGTTCTGGGGCCTGGGTTCAAGTCCCCCCATGGTGGGTGAAACTTTGAATTTAATAAGAATCTAGGAATAAAGAAAAGCTAGCCTAATGGCGACTATCTAACCAATCCGGTTCACAAATGTCCTTTAGGGAGGGAAATCTATTGTCCTTACCTGGTGTGTGTGACTCCAGACTCCAGACTCACAGCAATGTAGTTGACCCTTAACTGCCCTCTGGATAATTAGGAGTGGGCAATATGTGCTGGCCTCACTAACGACATCCACATCCACATGAATAAATTTAAAAGATTAAATAGCACCTTTTGTCATATGGTGAGAATGTGTGTGTTCAGGCCCTAATGATGAAACACTGTCACTGGTGGTCAGACCGTGCCAGGAAGGGAGAAAGAGTCAAGATGGGTGGTGGACGCCCCGAAATTTGGCTCCTTACGCTCATAGATATTATTAAGCTAGAGAGGGTTCTGAAGAGACTTACTAGGATGTTGCTGGGAATGGAGGGTTTGAATTACAAGGAGAGGCTGGATAGGCTGGGACTTTTTTCACTGGAGCATAGGAGGTTGAGGGGTGACCTTAAAGAGGTTTATAAAATCATGAGGGGTATAGATAGGGTTAATGGTAGTTGTCTTTTCCCTAGGATGAGGGACCTCGAGACTAGAGGACACATTTCCGACATGAGAGGAGAGAGATTTAACAAAAGAGGGCCAGACTTCTTACATAGAAGGTGGTTGATGTGTGGAATGAACTTCCAGAGGAAGTGGTGGATGTGGGCACAGTTACAATGCTTAAAAGACACTTCGATAAGGACATGAATATGAAAGGTTTGGAGGGATATGGGCCAAGCGCAATCAGGTGGGACTAGTTTAGTTTGGGATTATGGTCGGCATGGATTGGTTGGACTGAAGGGCCTGTTTCTGTGCTGTATGACTCCCCTGTGGTCAGACTCTGCTAGGACTCCTCTGGCCCTGTGCTGCTAATGGCACTGCATTGCCTTAGTGCCAGTGCATGCACAGACTGCCCCACTGATGGACACACAGCCTGAATTCTGCCTGTTCTGAGCTGTGAGTGACATCCCAGAACCCCCAATACCACCACCAATGCCCCCCCTACCAGCCGAAACCTGATATGTAACGTTCATGTGATAGTGAATAAATAAGAATTTTTTGGAACCCTCAAACGTCAGACAAAACAGTCGATAAGGCAGAGACCTGGCTGCTGCAGGACTGTTAATGTAGAGACAGTACAGTCTGAGGGAGCTGTCTCTCAGTGTCAGATAGAAACCTGGGTCCCCACCTCATGGCTGTTGGATGTGTACTTTACCTTTGAACGTTCACCTTTAAGGACTCTGTGTGCTCTGTGTATACAATGCTGTGACTCTGCCTGGCAGTCAACCTGCATTTGGATTGCAAGCTGCACACACACAAATCTATGGATTGCTGTAATGTTTGCTTCATAACTTTGAATGTGTTTCACCATTTTAAATAAACAAACCTAGGGAGAGGCAATGGCCTGTTAATCCAGAGACCCAGATAATGTTCTGGGGACCTGGGTTCGAATCCCGCCATGGCAGATGGTGGAATTTGAATTCAATAAAAATAAAATCTGGAATTAAGAATCTAATGATGACAGTGAATCCATTGTCAATTGTTGGGAAAACCCATCTGGTTCACTGATGCCCTTTATGGAAGGAAACTGCCATCCTCACCTGGTCTGGCCTACATGTGACTCCAGACCCATAGCAATGTGGTTGACTCTGAACTGCCCTCTGGGCAATTAGGGATGGGCAATAAATACTGCCTGGTCAGCGACGTCCTCATCCTGTAAATGAATAAAGAAAGAAACCTATGGTGTTGATCAGTCCCTAGTGAGTGATTGTTAGAGAACTATCATCAATGTGACAATGGCAACCTAAACCATGAGGATTGATCCAGCTAAAGTTTGTAACAAGAAAGGCAGATAAAATATTACAGGGATTTCTGAAGAAGGGTCTAGGCCTGAGCTTTCCTGCTCCTCTGATGCTGCCTGGCCTCCTGTGTTCATCCAGCTCTCCACCTTGTTATCTCAAATATCACAGGGTGGTTCAACCCCTCTCTGTGTGACCCAAAGCGAAATACATTCAGAGTGTTGTAAGTGTAGGGGGAATTGTAGCAATCTATTTGCGAGCAGTGAGGTCCCACAAGCAGCAATGTGATAATGTCCAGATGTTGTCCTAGTGTGGGTGTTTGAGGAAATTAATATTGGTCCAGGACATTAGGCAACTCTGACTCCCCTTCTTCAAAATAGTGACTGTGCGATTTTATATATCAGCTGGTGGGAGGCAGCCAGAGCCCATGTTTGACGGCCCATCTGATGAACAGTGTGCCACTCTCTTTGTGCTGCACTGTACCTTCAGTGTAGATTATATGCTCAAATCTCAGGAGTGGGCCTCAAACTCACCACCTTCTGATTGGTGAATGGCTTCCACTATCTCCCTGGGGCAGCCTGTTTGATTAGCTCTTGATAGATTGTAGTTTAGGGTTATAGACAAGAAGACAGCATGAAAGCAGGAGTTGGAGCAACAGATGTACCATATATTCTGCATTTGGGGAGATAATACCACATCATTTTAATTCTGAATCTTGACTTAGGAGATCAGTGGGGACTAGGAAGGATCATCACTTCACTTACTTATGGTTTTTCCATGACCAGTGAACCTAACTCTTGTTTAAATGAGGTGAAGAAGGTTTACTAAGATTACAAAGAGATCTTGATCACATGGGTCAATGGGCTGAAAAATGGCAGACGGAGTTCAATCTGGATAAATGCGAGGTTTTGCACTTTGGTACAACAAACAGAAGTAGGACTTATACAATTAATGGTAGGGCCCTTGGGTAATGTTGTAGAGCAGAGGGACCTAGGGGTGCAGGTGCATAATTCTGTGGATGCGGGCACAATTACAATGTTTTAAAGACATTTTGGATAAGTACATGAATAGGAAAGGTTTGGAGGGACAAAAACAGAAGTTGCTGGAAAAGCTCAGCAGGTCTGGCAGCATCTGTGAAGAGAAAAACAGAGTTAACGTGTCGGGTCCGGTGACCCTTCCTCAGAACTGGCTTTCCAGCAACTTTGTTTTTGTTCCTGATTTACAGCATCCGCAGTTCTTTCGGTTTTTAAAGGTTTGGAGGGATATGGGCCATGAGCAGGCAGGTGGGACTAGTTTAGTTTGGGATTTTGTTTGGCATGGACTGGTTGGACCGAAGGGTCTGTTTCTGTGCTGTGTGACTCTGTGACAATGACTGACTCGCAGAGTGAATTTCCTTAGGTTTTTGTTGCTTAGCTTTTGTGGGGGGAAATATAACTTAAACCCCAAAGAGATTCCCCACCCCCACCCCTATGATGTGCTCTCAGATATCCTCCCATGTGTGTGAGAGGGTGAATAAAGCTGCCTTTCCTGTTTCTCTCGCCAGGGGCTGGTGTCTTCTGTCTGTCGTGCACTGAGGGCGAAAGGATCAGCTTCCTCTTTGACTGCATCGTCCGAGGGATCTCACCAACTAAGGGACCGTTTGGGTTGCGGCCCATTCTGCCAGGTCGGTGGAGGAAGGATGGAGTAACAAGAAAGCTGGCTATACATTGTGCCCTCTATCTGTAACGTGTAGGGTTGGGAGAGGTGTGGACAGAAGGACATTGAGCAGAGATGGAGATGAATGGGAAGGGGCAAAGAGAGGGTGATAAGAGGCAGTGGGAGCGAGGGTTTGGAGACAGGTGGAGCAAAAGGAGATGGGGTTGGCATGGAAGTAATGAGGAACTTGTTAGCCCTTATCGCAAGAGGTTTTGAATAAAAGATAGTCACCATAATCCCAACCTCTCGTAAAGAAAGATGGTTAGTTTATCCTGAGGGTCACCCTGACAAGGTGAGGGGTAAGGTCAAGAGGGTGGCATCTTCATGGTGACCTTAGCCAATATGGGAACTGGACCTGTGCCGTTATTCTGCACTGTATACCAGCCATCCAGCCAACTGAGCTAACCCTGCTACAGAGCACAGGAGTAGTGAAGTCTTGGTCCAAATGTATAAGAACTTGGTTAGACTGCACCTGGAGTATGGTGTGTGCAGTTTTGGTCAATTTTTTGGCCTGTCTAGCATTTATTATTCAACCCAAATTGACCTGGAAAAGGCAGTAGTGAGCTGAAGTTATACACTTTGGTAGGATAAACAGAATGGCAGAGTACTATTTAAATGATGATAAATTAGGAAATGTTGAGGTATAAAGGGACCCACAATGCCATTAGAGGGGGAATTCCAGGATTTTGACCCAGCGGCAGTGAAGGAACGGTAACATATTTCCAAGTCTGGATGGTGAGTGGTTTGGAGGGGAACTTGCAGGGGGTGGTGTTCCCATGTATCTGCTGCCCTTGTCCTTCTAGATGGAAGTGGTCGTGAGTTTGTCAGGAGAAAGAGGTGGTCCTTGAAATTTTGATTATTCGGCATTTTTACCTTTGTACCTATATTGAAAGTTTGGGAAGGAGGGGACACAGGTTTGAGATAATTAGTAAAAGAAGTGATGGTAACAGGAGGAATAACCTTCATGGAGCCAGTGGTTAAGGTCTGAACTTTGTGGTGGATGCAGGTTTGATGAGGCATTTAAAAGGGAACTGAATCAATATCTGGACAAGATGATTGTGCAGGGTTACAGGGAGAGGGCAAGGGGATGATAATGTCGCTGGGTCACAATCCTGGAATTAGCTCCCTAATGGTATTGTGGGTGTCCCTACACTCCAAGGACTGAAGCAGTTCCCAAGGCAGCCCACCACCACATTTTTGGGGCAATTAGGGATGGACAATAAATGTTGACCCAGCCAGTGATGCCCCCATCCCATGCATGAATGGAAAAAAACATGTATTGCTTATGAATTCAGGGAGCTAGTGCAGGTCCAATGGACTGAATAGTCTCCTGGTGTGCCATAACTTTGTGATTCTGTGTTGGGAGTTAAGCTGATTATACAAACAAGAGTATTTATTGTGTTTACTTATCCTTGGTTTCTACCCTGAAGTTTAAATAGAGCATAAGTGAGTCATAGAATCATTACAGCACAGAAGAAGGCCATTCAATCCATTATGCCCATGCTGGCCATTCTAAGGAGTGTTTCAGTATTGTCCCTCCCCTGTCCTATCCCCAGGTCTCTGCACATTCCTCCTCCTGGATGAAGTTTAATTTATTTTCCGTCTTGCACCTTTCCTGGATATAGTGTGTAGACTATGTTAGTTAAATTGGTGTGTGAATATGTGTGTGTGTGTGAGTGTGTGTGTGTGTGTGAATGTGTGTGTGAACGTGTGTGTGTGTGTGTGAATGTGTGCGTGTGTGTGTGTGTGTGTGCGTGTGCATGTGTACACGCATATGTGGACTTTGAGTGAGGTCAGGCTCAGCTATGCTGTGGTTTCCCCTTGTGTTGGAATAGCTGGAAAGTCTGTGTGATTTTACACCCACATCCATGAGTTTGGTTTAAAGGCAATCTGGTCAAGGAGAAAGCAACTGTCTAAAATATTGCAACACATGGTATTCAGAGATATACCCAGGTTCTAATCTTAAGAGTTACATTATCAAAAGACTATTCCATAAACTCTGCAATCAGAGTTTGCGAGTCAGTCTACTCCACATTGCTCCTCTGCCCGTGTTTTTAACATTCATGTGGTTAGACTTCAGCCTTCTGCCTCACTCGCCAAATGTTTCTTTCCTTTTACTCTGCCAACATTGTGCCTGGCACATTAGCCTCTGAGTGAGAAGGTTGTGGGTCTGAAATCCAGTCCAGAACCTTGAGTGTTTTATCCAGACCAGTGGTATGGGACCATTACACAGCCAGCAGTCACTGTGTTCCTGTCTGTTCCCTCAGGATTCCCTCCCAGTCACTACTTTGAAGAGGAGGGAGGGTTGTTTCTAGTGTCCTGTCAAATACTTTTTCTCTCGACCAACGTCACTAAACATACGAACAGGACTAGGCCATTCAGCCCACTGAACTTGCCCACCATTCACTTAGACCATGGCTGATTGTCTACCTCATAGTCCCTTTTTCCACACCATTGCCATGTACCTTGATGCTATTAATTCCTGTGTTAGAACGTATTGATCTCTGTCTTCAACCTGCTCAAAGCATGAGCTTCCACCACCCTCTGGGAAGATAATTCTGAAGATTTGCCAGTTCTGAGTCAAGAAATTCCTCCTCATCTCCATCTTAAATGGCCTGTCCTTTATCTTGGGATCACATCCCCGGTTTTACGCTCACCAACCAGGGGAAACATTTTCTCTACATCCACACTGTCATGCCCTATAAGAGTTTTTTTTAAGTTTCAGTGAAGTCACCCCTTATCTTTGAAGCTGTAGGGAATACAGACCCAGATTCCTCATTCTGTTCTTAGAAGAGAATCCATTCCCTCCCAGGGATGAATCTAATGAATCTCTATTGCATCCCCTGTCTATGCAAGTATATTGTTATTTAGATAAGGAAACTAACACTGGACACAATATGCAGGTGAGCTCTTGCCAAGGTGGTATACAACTGGAACAAGACATCTTTACCGTGCTATGCTTGAATCGCTTGGAAACAAAAGGCGACTTATCCATTTGGCTTCCTAATTTCTTGAATATTAACTTTAAGTGACTGGTGAACAAGGATAGCCAGTTCCCTTTGGACATATGCATTCCCCAACCTCTCATCATTTAAGAACTATTCTGTCTTATTTTTATACCAAAGTGAATGACTTCATTCTTCACACTTTCCCTTTCGTCAAACCATGTTGAATCTTCACAATTTTGCCGTTCTTTTCTAGCCCAGTAATTCGATCATTTCCCTGCCATTGACGTCAAGCAGATCTGTTGTTCTTGATTCTCACTTTCCCTCCGTCCCTTAAATAGTGGGGTTACATTTACAGGCCGTTACCTCACTGCCTGCTGTGCCGAACGTGGGTGTCACTGGCCAGGCCAGTTTCTATTGCCCAACCCTAATGGCCCAGAGGGCAGTTAAGAGTCAAGCACATTGGCTGTGTGCCTGGAGTCACATGTAGGCCAGACCAGGTAAGGATGGCAGTTTCCTTCCCTAAAGGGCATTTCTGAACCAGATGAGTGGTTTCCCCCCAACAATCAACAATGGATTCATGGTCATCATTAGACTCCTGATTCCAGATTTTTATTGAATCTGTTGTGGTAGGATTTGAACCCAGGTTCTCAGAACATTCTGGTTCTGAGGAAGGGTCATCAAACCCGAAATGTTAACTCTGATTTCTCTTCGCAGATGCTGCCCGACCTGCTGGGCTTTTCCAGCAATTTCTGTTTTTGTCCCCAGAATATTACCTGGGTCTCTGGATTAACCATCCAGTGATAACACCACAAGGCCATCACCTCCCTTTAATGTGAATTTACCTTGAAAGTAATTCTATGACAAGTGCTTTTGAGGTGGCGGCATGGTGGCTCAGTGGTTAGCGTTGCTGCCTCACGGTGCCAGGGACCTGGGTTCAGTTCCACCCTCAGGCAACTGTCTGTGTGGAGTTTGCACATTCTCCCTGTGTCTACATGGGTTTCCTCCGGGTGCCCCGGTTTCCTCCCTCAATCCAAAGATGTGCAGGTTAGGTGGATTGTCCATGCTGAGTTGCCAATAGTGTTCAGGG